GACATTATGAAAATGCCCTATTAATTACTTGGTCCATATCTATCCAATGTTTAATTTACATTGGTTGGCGATCTGCCTGAACTAGCAGCTATTTTTCTGACCGTTCATGATGACTAATAACTAAATGAAATTATAAATATGAATAAAATTGACTTGTTATATTTATAAATAATCACGTATGGTCGTATTAAAGCAGTGCGTGACTGCGGCATCACAGCTACAATTGTGTTGGTTGCGTTACAACGTTTCTCATAGAATTTATTTTCACCAACCCATTGCAGACAAGACAGCAATGTACATTGTGTACATTTTGTGTTATTATAACAACTAAATATATTGTAACAAAAATTAATTACAAAAACTTGTAAATATAATTAAAAACTATCGTAACGTAGGGCCTCGGAAATGGAAATTAGGCTTAATTTTTTATTGTATTTACCTTATTAAACTTTTCTGAAAAAACACTGTCATGTATAATATTACTCAAGTGCGAATTAGGCAAAATTATAAAATAACTTATTAGAACTTTATACATAATACGGGACAGAATTATAATAACTCGTATTCATAGTTCATACATATAATTAAATAAAGCAATGATTTTTATTACTTGCCTTTGGAATTGATTCTTATATACTGAAAGCAATTTACTCATATGTAAACATTTTGTGAGGCTGGGTCTGCTCCAAGTAATAATCGGGAACAAATCTACTGATAATCACCGAAATTGTGACCAAACTTTGCCCAGAAAATGCAGCAAATTCTAACGCAATAGTACCAATACATTACTGAGTAAATTTATAATTATTTTATCATCACCATTATTAATAATTATACCAAAATAATTATTCATAACCATCATTAATGTCTAATTGAATATTTTGTATTACATGAACGAAATAAATTTGGTGTAATTTGATTTTTAGTCGGGCAACATTAAGCGATCTGTGATTACGTAAGTAATTTAAAGAGTGTTAGAAGCAACTCCCGGTTATACTCATACATGCTCAACGACCACATATACTTACCTATTTTTTTAAGTACAACAGGCGCGTTCGTTATCAGTCAAATGTATGTATACGCTACCATGTTTATTATTGTATTTCATTGAAATGTATATACATGATGTTAGTGCAAATAGTTGCCGATGTTGTGATAGTGCAACTTGAACTCGTTTTCTCTGAGACAAACGAATTCAAAGATAAGGCTTGTGAAACAGATGTGTTAGTGCTGGAACCAGGTGAACAAGGTCCTTTACTTATAGTACAACAGGCATATTTTGTTTTGCTTTGTAACTTGCACCAGACAGATCAGAGCTGGGGTTTGATCTGTTCGATTTGTATGTTAATGTACGACTGTGATTTCATCGAGTTTATATTTCAATTATTCTTCCGTGTTCCTCTAAACAAGCACTTTACTTAGGTTTAAGCTGACATTTATAAAGCATTTGCAAATTTATTCCTATTGAAATATTGTGCAGTTTGTTTTCTCTACGATTTGTATATTTCTACTGAACTGTAATGTTTGCAACAGCTGTTGTGCGCGCGCGCCGCCACACTGCGCTGTGATCAGTGTTGCCGTTCAGCACATGTGGCGCTGGATCTGGTCCAGTTCTAGCGTCTATAGCGCTTTTTTTAATATCTACGTAGACTAGTAGATTAAAAATATGTAGGAGACTAGTAGACTAGATATTTTTAGCACGTAGATATTAAAAAAACACTATAGACGCTAGAACTGCACCAGATCGAGCGCCACATGTGCTGAAACGGCAATATTGGTTGTGTCCCCCACGTTGCATGTCCATGTTGTAAAATCACTTGTAATTAATAAAATGTTGATCAGTTCCTTGTTGTTTTATTAGTAAGTCATAAATCAAACACTGTTAGTTTACAAATTTTATTTAATGACAAACCCGAAACAACTCGTTCAATATGTCCTTTACAAAGTGAAAGTACTGTAAACATGAAACATATATTAAAATATTAATAAGATTAGGTAATACAAGTTAAGTTTGTTACCATGGTAACCATAATATATATTAATAAAAGTACACAATTAGAAATAAAAACAACACTTAACTGAAACAAGTACCTTGAAAACATTAATTTGTCTTCCGAACAACAAGTCATACAGGAAGAATAACAATAACGATATAAGTATAAAGGAAGAATAACAATAATAATAAGTTACTGTTCTGAGCACTTGTCACAACAACAAGCCTGGCGATGGGGGGGGGGGGGGGCTAGCCGTGATGACATCCTATTATCGTTAACACTAAAAGATGTTTATAACATAAATGGGAATGACAGTCTAGTGGTTGTAGTAGTGCGACTGCTAATGAAGGCCTGGATTCGAATCCCGGGTTGGACCAAAAAATCAATCAATAAGTTTTTTTGTCAAGAAATTCTCAGTAGCTGCCCAGAGTCAGGAAGATGGCGGTGTCTCACCCTCGTGCCTCGGAAAGCACGTAAAGCCGCTGGTTCTGCGCCTGATTTCTCTCCGGTCGTGTCGGCTAGTCCCATCGGACTATGAGAGTGAGGGAATAGAGAGTGCACCTGTGCTTGTGCATACACTTGGGCACTTTAATCCTGTCCTGCGCCGATGGCTAGCCTCCGTTGAGACTGGGTTGTAAAATATGTTAGGTATATAAGCTATGTATTTATTTTGTCTAAGAAATACTCAAAGAGTTAATCACTACGTTGTAGTTACTCCAGCCTGGACACACATATTTTTATAGTTTTCTCGTGATAACAATAGGAAAATGTCATTTTCGCTAACTCAGGCACGTGCATATACGACGGTTAATTTCTCACCTGTCTCTCACACTTATTTTTAAAATTTGTTCATACTTATCAACAGTAGAATTATCAATTACGTGATACTTATTTTGTTATAAACAACGGTCCTATAATCGAATAGTCTCTTAGAGCACCTAAACACAAGCAGGCTTGCTTTTGTATACTCTAAGGGATGAACTACCTACGCAAATATTGAAGTCTACAGCAAGTTACCACCAAATAGGCCTTTGGTTATGTTTACGTGCATTATTAGTGTACATTCGTGTTAGATCATAGTTTTTTAGACTGCAACCCAAAGCGAATGTACATTTGACTATTTACGAACGATTTAGCTGTTTCAGAAGACTAGACACTATTGTATTATAAACTGACTTCAACTCGCATCTACCCATCTACAGAGTTGGCTTGATATTAGACTTCTTCTTTCTTAGCTGATAAATATCCCCTACTGGAGGGGGTGCCTCTCCTGTGTGTGTCAGATTTCGCCACCATCGCCGTGCTCGGCGATCGCACTGACAGACGTCTTGTACTTAAATTTCTCAGTCTTGTGAATTAAATTTTACATTAAATCAATAACAAACTTTTGTGCACTGTCGCAATCGGATAAAAATAAAAAGAATTCCTTGGGTTACCTAGGGCATAGAATAAATAATAGCCAAGGATTATTAAAATGGAAATTCGTTTAGATTTTGTGTGAATAGTGTAACTACAGACACAAAAATTATAAAAATAAGCAATTTATTTGACTTTAGTAGATATTCTTTATATCCATAGTTCCCTGGACTTGATTTTCCAAAAATATTACAATTAGACAAAGTAAAATATTTTACTTACTTATTATATGTATCTACATAAAGATTAAATGTACAGCATCACGTATTTGCTACGTGTTCAGAGTTCTCGACTGACGTAGTTTCTATAAGCATCAACATTTTGTACCAACATTTCATTTCAACAGTAGTTTTAGAAATAATTACTTTGATTTTTATTTTTGTAGAAATTTGACTCGACTACTTCAGCGAACACCGTAAAACATTTTTTAATAATGTGGATGGCATCTTATTGACTTATATTTATTGGCTACATTTTTATTCGGAGCTTTATTTCCTGAAATTAAGCAGAAACGTGTCAAATTTAGTAACTTTGTGCGCCGTATATCGTGCTCGTACGCTAACTTGCGTAAATGGGAGCGCTAAAAGCTAAAAGCCTTTCAGCGTAGGAAATCCAATGCATTGTATCGAACATTATTGGAAGCTTGTGGTTTAAAAATTTAGGAAGTAGTTATTTACTAAGCAGTTCTATTTAGTTTTTAGGAAAAGTTTAAGTACCTGTCATATATTATGGCAATTCGGGCAAATCGTATAAGGCGATTTGGAATTTAAATCTAAATAATTTTGGAATTTAATGAAGTGGATTGTTGATAGGTTATAGTGAATGAATGATGAATTATGTTGTATTCACAAAGTGGTGAGCAGTTGTTATGAGCGTGTGTTACCGCGAATGTGCTATCATTCCACTGACGCAACTTTAAACTCCACTTTTCACACCTACAGGTTAAAGAAAGGTATTCGACGTCCTCCGTAGCATTCTGTTTTCAGATCAAATCGACGACGCGCATCATTTAAAAGTATCTTTAGTGTTGCGTTTCCCAATCATTCGGCCATGGGAGAAGTTCTAGAAGTAGATTGTTTACGGGATATCAAGGAGGAAGAGATTTGTGGCTGACCTGACGGAGTTCGGATAGCCGGCGTAACTGATAGGTTCCCTAAGTTTTCAAACCAGCAAGCTTTAGCGATACCGTATGGCAGTACCCACGAATGTCAGTTGCACACATGTCGTTGTTAGCCGAAATAGCAGTCGGTGCTCACGCAGCATCGCTGCTACAGTGACGACATCTTCTGCCACCAGGACGGCATCATTTAGGAATGAGGTAAATTATTTAACAGATTTCATAGCGGAGGACAACTACACTTTCCTAATAAATAGAAAAGTGTAGAGATTAATCATTCCTTTTTGAAAAATTGGTATATATTTTATATTAATTACATTAGAAATTGATAAACCAAGCTGTGGATCTAAAAGTAGAACAATAAAAAGAAGTAAAAAATGTGAAAAAATTAAAGAACACAAAGAACACAGCACTGAAGCATTGTTTGTGTATTCACATAAGTATACTAAAAACCGAAAAATTAAGACAAGTTTTCAATGATGACGACACTGTGTGACCGTTTCCATAATAAGTTGAGCCCAGTCCCACATGGCGACATTATGAGCCCTCATTACGTGCTCTGTTAAAGGAGTTCCTGATGCGGCAGGTGCAGGTCTACAGGTACATGCCGTTGACGAGGTAGTCGGCGTCCATGGCGAGGCGCGGCGCGCGGCGGCGGCGGCGGCGCGCGCGCGGCACGCCACCAGCACGCCCAGGCTCACCGTCATCAGCGACCCTGCCACACCACCGTGCTCACACCCCCACTGAGTGCCGGTACAAGCCCCTCCCACTGTGAGGACACTTCTACCGTAACACCCATGCTTGGCAACTACTGACGCGGATCTCTCACTCGTGAAATCTTTCTGAATCATTTTTTTACACGTGGTGGAGCCACGCTACAGCTACATTATGGTTCTCACAAGAACCGTGCCCGCACAGAATACCCACGTGAATTAACAGCTTTAAGCTGCTGTGTTTCGTATAGTGAGTGTAGAGAACTAGAGACCCTTTTTAGTAGAAATGAGGCACACCATTTCGTTATTATTTCATAAAAAATACACCCAAAGCAGAAGGGGCTCTAGCCCTGGGGCTTCCACCAGGAAGAGTGGAAGCAAAATCAACAAAGAAAAAACAAATAACAAAAGAGAAAACATTAAAATATACAAAGACGATTTGGAATCAATCGTGACCAATTTTTTTTTATAGAAATGGGGCAAACTAGCATGCGGCTCACCTGATGTTAAGTAACTACCGCCGCCCATGATCAACCGCAACACCAGGAGAATTGCGGGTGCGTTGCCGGCCCTTTAGAAAGGAGTAAGCTCTTTTCTTGAAGGTCCCCAGGTCGTATCGGTCCGGAAAAATCGCCGGTGGTAAACCATTCCACAGAGAGGTTGTACGCGGAAGAAAACTCCTTGTGAAATGTACAGTGGTGGACCGCCAAGCATCCAGATGGTGTGGATGGTATCGAGACGTTTGCTGCGTAGTGCGTTCTATCGGCTGGGATTAATCCGAACAATTCCTCAGAGCACTCCCCGTGATATATACGAAAGAAAATGCGAAGAGATGCAACATCTCTTCGCAGCGCTAGTAAATCGAGCCGATCGGAAAGCACTCGGTCGTCGACGACTCGAGCCGCTCTGCACTGGATGCGCTCAAGTGGAAGGAGTTGGTACTGGGGAGCCCCAGCCCAGAGATGGGAACAGTATTCCATGTGCGGCCGAACCTGCGCCTCGTAAAGTTGCAGGCGGTGTGCCGGCATGAAATACTGTCCCGCTCTGCTGAGCACGCCAAGCTTTTTGAGGCCAATTTGGCCTTCTCTTCCAAGTGACCACGAAACTGCACGTCACTCGATATGTCGACGCCGAGGATACCGATACTGGCTGAGGCAACAAGGGGAGTGCCTTGAAACTAGGGAGATACGACAAAGGAGTGTGTTTTAGCGGTTAACTCGCGAACTTGTGTCTTCTGAGGGTTAAACTGGATTAGATTTAGTCGCCCCCAATCCGAGACTTTGTTCAGCAAAGACTCGACTTTAAACACAAGTTTGTCCCGGCACTTGGAGACGTTTTCCCGAGAAATATTGGAACGGCCGGTGTACAGAGCATCACCAGTGCTGTCATCTGCATAGCAATGAATGTTACGGGTTTGCAACATATCATTGATATGCGGAAGAAACAGCGTTGGCGATAGCACGCAGCCTTGTGCAGTGTGCAGGGATGGAAGAGATGGCTGACAGAAATTCCCCTGGACAGCCTTGGCGAGAAACCAGAATGCACGGTTTCCAGAAGGAAGGCGAACTAGTTTCTCGCCAATTCTGCCTATATGCTCTGACTTTGCCTTGGCAATGACTCTTTTGAAGGACCTGGAGGCAGAATTATACTTCGTTTTTAGAACGCAGGTGTTTAAATCCCGGGACGTTGATGAGTCAGCCCAGGCTTGGTAGCACTCTTGCTTATAGCGTGATGCTATTTTACAGGAGCGACCAAACCATGGCTGAGATTTGCCTCCGATGGCCACCATAGAGGAAGGAATAAAAAGTTTCATACCATAAAGTACCACATCAGCGATAGAATCCGCAACAATGTTGAGATCGGCGAGAAGCAAACCCGCACCCAAGGGTACGGTATGGTATCGGCTGACCTATAGTGCCAAACACGGCGGCAGGCTGCAGAATATAACCGCGATTTCAGCGTGAGTGGCACTACACACCGGACAAGACAATGGTTCGAGAAGCCCAAAGGGGCGTCGACGGAAACCTGATATCCGTCTGGGTGAGAGGTCAACAGAAGGTCCAACAGGGAAGGTGAATGCTGCTACACATCTGGAATTCACGTAGGCGAAGTAACCAGTTGTGTCAGACCATATGCCAAGGCAAAATCATGAACAGATCTCCCACATGATCGGTTAAACGTGAACCAAGCCATTCGGCGTAATGGACGTTAAAATCGCCGAGGATCACGATCTCTGCGGAGGGGATCTGCTGTAGCAACGAATCTGTAGCCATTTGGACGTGGTCGAAGAGTCGGTCTGTTTCGGCATTACCGCTATGGGACCTATAAAGGCACCCGTAGACGCGCGGATGTCGTCGCTGTCTACTCGTAACCAAATGATGGACAGGTCCGAAACTTCAAGACTGCCGAGGCGTCGAGAACAGATGTCCTCTCTGACGTAAACGCAAACTCCAGCCCGAGGCACAAAGGAGTGTTCCAGTTTGTACCCCGGGCAGGAGAGATACGAGACATCAGCCGGAGAGGACACCTGCGTCTCGGTCAGAAAGAGCAGAGCCGGCCTCGCCGTCTCGAGATGGTAGTGGATGGCGTTTAGGTTAGAGTGAAGTCCCCTGATATTGCAGAAATTCACGGATAGCGTGGCAGGGGTCGCCTTGGTCTTGTTGCTCTGTTTGCCCCGAGCAGTTGTAGTCTTGAGCGGAATCCCCCCCGCCCAGAATACGCGCGGCGGCCTGAGCACCCACGCTCAGAAGTGGAGAAACATGGTCGTGGATGCTCAGCGAGGGATTCTCCAGGGGTGCTGGTACCCTCCTGGGGTAGTCTAATATTTAATTCCGCTACCATGTTGATGGGGAGGGGGGGAATTGGGCCTCCGGCCACCTGCACTCACCAGACGAAACGCGGCAGCAGAGCTTCCACTTCACGCCGGTATTCTGTGAGGTCGTAGTACCACCCCGGTTTGAGCCGGCCCATACGTGCAACATTAAAGCTTTTTTTGTCACAACTTGCTTCATTTTGTACAAAAATTATTATCAAAAAGATCGATCTAAGAAGCTCTTCTACTCTGAATTACTCGAGAAACAAAATTTAAGAGCTGCATTTCCAGATATTAAAATTACATTATAAATATACTTGGTGTTGATGGTCTCGAATAAATATCGTACTTAGTCGGACTATTTGTCCTTGGTCATACTCGTCAACAACTTCGAGCTTAGTGCTCCCAACAACTACCGGCATAGGTATGACATGGACGTTACACATGATCTTTCTTTTTGTCCATGTTCATCTTAAGACCTATCTGTTGAAAGGCACTGTTGAAGTCATTGATCATAGTGCTTAGGACCTTCAGCGATTCTGTCATAAAGATTACATCGTCGGCAAATCGAAAGTGAGTGATGTACTCGCCATTGACGTTAATACCGTATCTTTTTCAGTCCAGTAGCTTGAAAACGTCTTCCAATGCAGTGGTGAAGAGTTTCGGGGGTATTACGTCACCCTGTCTTACACCTCTCTGCAGTTGGATAGGTTTCGTACTCTGGTTCTGTACTCGGATCATCATAGTAGGAGCGGAGCCATCGTAGACCTACTGTACAAACACTTCAGCACTTCGATATACCGACAATCATTTTGGCACCGCTAAAGGTACTTTAGCACCGCTCAAATTTCGACGGAATAAAACGCTTTCTCATTGTCTACGTACGCAAGAAAAAGTGGCATATTGTACTATGCGTACTTCTGTAAAACTTACTGAATGTTATATACGTGTTCTATAGTACTAAAGTCTTTTTGAAAACCAGCTTGTTCGGGAGGCTGGAAGACGTCAAGACTGCGTGCAAGATGATTCGTAATAATTTTCGAAAACAGCAAGTAGGCGTAGGAAGCTTAGAAGGGATATCAGTCGGTAGTTCTTCAACAGAGCGTTGTCACTTTTCTTGAAACAACAAAAACAAGATCACCGCACTTCTGCTCCACACCTCGGGAGTAGTGCCACCTTGGAGAACAGAATTAAAGAGATTCTAAAGGACTTCAAGTACCGGTTTTCCACCTGTTTTCACGAGCTCCGCTGTAATTTTAACATCGCCCGGGGACTTGTGTTTTTAAGGTGCTGGAGAGCCATTCTAATCTCGCTCAGACTGACGTCTGGGATATCATCGGAATAGTGTCGAATAAGACTTGCTCTTGGATTGTTACTCATACTTGCGTGTGACTCCAACGATAACGTGTACAGCTGCCTATAGAACCTCTAATCTCACGTATCCCGAAAACGATACTAACGCACTCGGTCTTTTATTTCGACAGTTGGCGCTTTCTGGCAGACAGATCTCTGGCAAAGACTTTGAAGTCCTGGTTCCGCGCAATCGCTTCTACAATACGAGCAGTATTGAAGTTGTGTAAGTCCCGCCGCATGTATTTGGAGATATGTCTGTTCAGTTGCCTGTATGCTGTCAAATTTGCTAAAGACTTCAGCTTCATTTCCCGTCTAAGAGCCATGAGATTAAGAATCTGATCGGAAAGTTTTTATGTTCTTCTGCGACGCGTCTTACAGAACTTAGCTCTGACCGCATGGACAGTTTCCACGAGCTTGTCATTCATATCGTCCACCGTATTGCAATCTTCTAGGCACTGAAAACGGTTTTGTAATTCGAGCTGAATATTTTCGGAACCTTGGATTAGCGCACGAGAGGTACGGAGCCTTTCCAACTTCACGTTTAGGTTCATTATGCCTCTTATCATTCGGTGATCGCTACTAGTTTTCACCCTTGCGATCACTGAGATGTTACTGAACAGTTGGCGTCTGGTCGTCATAACGAAGTCAACCTCACCTTTTGTCGAACCTGCGGGGCTCGACCAGGTACACTTCCTATGTACCTGCTTCTGGAAGAAAGAGTTCATCATAAAAAGTCTCTCTTTCTCAATGAAGTTGGTATAATATGCTAGCGCAACTTGTTTACCTCTTATTCCAGCCCCAGGATCTTCTCGCCAGTCCTCAGGATGCGTGCGTTTTATGTTGTCATAGGTGGCAACCGAACCTCCACCGGAGTTTCTTAACACCCCCGGCCCCGCCGTTATCATAGCCGCCACCGTAGCCAGGAATAGCGGAGCTGCCAAGGACTGGGGGCCGTTTGTTTGTGTCGTTGCTCATAGGGGATGTTTGCCACAGCTGCCACATTTGGGAACCGGTTTGGCAACCGCGATTTTTTATTGTATAATCGCTGTTATCAGGAAGATGCTGCTGCTCATCTCCTGACTGTTTCCCTCTGACGCCTCTTACGACACCCACGGGAAGATATGCGGTAATGGATATTCTCAAAAGCCACCACGGATTCTCACAGAATATCAGCGTAAAATGCTGCAGCTGCTGTGTTTCTTATGATGAGTATAGACCCTTTTCACTCGATACTTACGACTAGATATTAGTCCTCAGGGGTGACAGTGCTTCTACATTTTGATTCCTAATCGAGGGTAGATATAGATATCTATGGGCTCGTTTCCTTCGTCACCGTTATTGTATAAAAAAACGTGATTTATGTAGGTGCGTGTGTATTGCGTATGGTGTAAGAAGGCGATGGTACCTAGCACCAGCAGTAGTACGGCGACCGGCGGGTGCTCGCTGGGCCCGTCGTGCTCGTCGCCCCACGGCGCCGGCGTTGCTTCCACCGCCACCACGCGCTCCGCCGCCTAAATAGAATAGAATTATTTTTATTCAATATCTAACCCAGGGAAAGCCACAGAGCACGGTCTTGAGTCACCTGTATACATCGGATTCCTGTACGTATTACCGGGTCGTCACTCCATCCAGTAGGGGGCTGCCTACACGTGGTCTACTGGGTACTGGTGCGAGGCTGCCACCTTCGCCTACAGTTCGTTTATTCAATATAGATTACAAGATTACTTATTGAAAATCATTTACCTAAACTTTACGAGTGGTCGAAGAAAACTTCTGTCCTGGAAAGAACCAACAGAAACCCAGCGCGACTTATTAAAAAAATACAATGTAAAATTTTATACAGTTATTAAAAAAAAATTTTAAAACAGCATTGTAGTGATCAAGTAATTCCCTGGGGTTGTTATCCATGAAGTACCCTGTAGTAGTATAATAACCATTATTAAACAATTTTTGCTGAATTAAAATTTTAAACTTTTTGGTAGATAATTCCTACTTTCTGGGTCATGATCATGAGTGATGTAAAGTACTCGAAACATCAGAATTGTGAAGTCAGTTAATAAACGTGATAAAATGCATAAAAGCTTGCGTACTTGCATCGTTGCTAGTGCTAGAAGTAGACCGTGTAGTGGCGGTGCAAGCTTCTCCACTCACCACATGGTCCCGCGTGTCGCGAGAGGCCGCCGCGGGGAGGAGGAACGAGTCCGGAGATGGCGAGGAGCATTGTCTTCCTAATAACGACTTACAACAGAAAACCTGCAGCTGCCAACCCGTTGCCGGTCATGGCGACTTTGACCAATAGAATACAATACAACAATGTTTTATTCAATCTAGATTACATGTTGTAATGCTTATTGAAAGTTATTTTTTACTTTACCACTCGTAAAAAAAAACTCTGTTCTGGGAAGAACCAGCAAGAAACCCAGCGGGACTTTTTTTAAATAAATTTTACAATGTCAAGGGTGACAAAATATTTACAAAATTTATTTTAGAAACACCTTAGAAACCGCCTTATTCCCAGGGGTTATTATCAACCATGTATTCATTTATATCATAATAACCCTTTTTATAGAGTTTTTGTTTAATTAAATATTTAAACTTGGTAATAGACAGACCTTGTATATTTTCTGGGACTTTGCTCTAATAGCGTATACAATGCCCCAAGAATGAATTACTGACTCTATCGAGTCGAGAAACTGGTAGCACTTTCAACAAAGCTTGTGTTTGTTCTTTGTTCCTAGTGTTTACAGAGTGTATGTCACTTTTGTACTAAAACTACCTTTGTTTTTGTGAACATGCATTAAATTTTCGTAGATATACTGAGAGAGTTCATGTATTTATTTCTTTAAATTTTCCTCTCAGAGACTCTCTCGGATTAAGGTAAAAAAAATTAAATAGCTCTTATGGCCCTCTTCTACAAAACAAAATTAGTTTCTAAATCGGCATTTCCCCATAGCAAAATCCCATATGACATTATGCATGGAAATATTTAAAATAAACTAATCTAGCTGTCTCGATCCTAATGAGATCTCTAATCTCTATTACAGCATAAGCTGCAGAGCTTAGTCCGCTTGTTAGTTTAGATATATGGGGGCCTCACTGAAGCTTGGTGTCGAGAGTGATGTCAAGAAAAACACAGGATGCAATAGGATTCAGTTCTACCCCATTTAAAAACACATTGGTATTCGGAGTTTTAATATTTGTTGTTGTAAATTTAATACATTTAGTTTTATTGCCGTTTAAATGTAGATTATTAACGTTAAACCAGTGCACTAATAACCAAGCCTAGCTCACATTAGATCGCGCAATACCAACCTTACGCCCGCCAAGTAGTGATCGAATTAGATCAGAATTATGTAAACATGTCTACCTATGAAAAAACTATTTTTTCGTTTTAAACAAAACCAAAGACACTATGCAATAGATATTAGTATCAAAGACAAAGATATGCTCTTTTATTTTAAACCATAACCTGGCAATGTTTCTTAGAAAAAAAAAAAAAGAAATCACTCTGAACTTTCGGCGTTCCACGTGCCGTTTTGATAAAGGTGCTCCGTCTTTTTTATAGAATTTTATATTTGTGTCTGGACTAAAAACGAAAGTATTATACTTTTTTATATTCCTTGTAATATAGTGAACACATATATATATAATTTGTGGTATAAAAAGTGAAAAGTAAATTGCCAAAAGTGCTTCAAAATCTGGAAGGCCAATTATGGCGGCTGGGTCATAAATGTGGTATTTTTCACATTCTCATTTATTTTTAGTGTAAAATGTAAGTAAAAATAGTTTTCTTACATATTTCAAATAACTTGACGTTGTATTTATTTCAAATTCACACAAAACTATTTTAGAAATATTGTTCTAAATGTCACACAGATAAAATATTAATATTTAATTTTTTTAATTTCTTTATATTTTATATTTTGGTATGAGTAACGAATGGAAACACATAAAACATAAAAATATACATATTTCCAAACAATTTGATATAAATTTCTCCAAAAACAAAAGTGTAGAATTCAAATTAGTAGTAATTTTGTCACTAAAATTGAAGTACATACTACTACTGTGCTATACAGGGTAATTTACGTATTTTATTACAATTTCTAGCAACCAAAAATAATTTTATTCGATAGTTTATACATTCAACAAGAATTCCTGTAAGTTTTATCTATAAATATTGTCTCAAAGTGAAAATATAGCAAAATTTGCAATATAGCAAAAAAATTTGCTAATTTTCAAATTTTGCCGCCATTACGGTCCCGAGCGAACGGGAGTATAACATGTCGCGCGCTGTCAGAGCTTACAGGTTAAGTTTAAAAATCAAGGAAGTATCAATGGCAAATAATACTATATTATGATTATCCCGTACAAGGGAAGGTAAATCATTAATATACACTACAATAGGAATGAACCAAGAATTGAGCACTGAGGGACACCCATCTGCACGGCCATCCGGAGAAACTTCTACCATTGATAATAATATATAATATCCCCGTATGAGACAATGGCAGTGGTCTCTGTTCAGCAGTAGACTTTAATAGGCTGTAACGATAACGGTGGAGCCAGAAGATGTTTGTACATGTTTGTAGAACCGTTAAATTGTTTTTTAAAACCGAACCAGGCTACAGTTTGACTTGTTCCAAAAACTGACCTTCGGTCGATACAAATGTATTATTATGAGGGTTTTTACCGGGGGTTTCAAAGTCTTCTTTTTAGTAGCGTCTTCTAATAATTCCGGCTTGCTTAAGTGTACGGACGGAGCGTGCGCGGCGGCGGGCGGAACGGCCGTCGCAGACGCGACGTGTGCCTGCTTGCGGCTCAGCTCTCCTCGCCGATCGTTGCTCAGCTCCCCGCGCCTCTCACCACTCAGGTCCCCACGTCGCTCACCGCTCAGTTCTCCACTCAGCTCACCGCTCTGCTCCCCGCGTCGCTCGCCGCTCAGATCGAAACCCTTTTTGGGCGAGTCGCGCAATGCCTGTTGCTGCCCAGTGTACAACGGCAACTCCGGCATGGTCTTTGCCGGTACATACACCGCCATATCCTGCAATACAATAACATTTTAAATATATTATTGCGTGCCATAATTAATTCCTGGTACATAGAGACATCAGTTACCACTAGCGCCCTCTAATATCGAGTAGCAGAACTAGGAGAGTCAAGATCATTTTAGAGATTTTCATGCTAGAACTTGCTACTGTAGAAGAGGATCTATATAAGGACGGTATCAACCACGACTCGAGTCACTATTGAATTGGTGAACCAAGCGAATACTTCGAAGGGATACCTATAACTGCGAACTAAACTGATTAGTATTACAATTGGGTTCTATTATTTGTGTCTTTTAAGTCGTAATTGGTGTCCGGTAATTAAAGTTTCCATTTTGGTAACTCAATGGACAGTTTTTAATTGTCACGAACCCCAAGCTCTCTCTCAATATTAATGCTATACAAACGTATAGTATAACATAATGTGTAAATTATAATGGTACTGATGCCGTAGTGTCCCTCTAGTAACAGCTTAGTGCTGATGTATTGCGTATGGTGAGTGTAGAGATTCGGAGACTGTCTTTAACGAGGCATTTCATCTTAATGTTTACTGCTGACAACGTATACGCATTTTGATTCTTTATCGAGGATAATGTAGACGTCTATATACAGTCAGTACACAGCATGTACTTACTATCATGTGGACTGTGTGCTCGTTCGTCACCTTATTCTATGAAGAAACTCCCATCTTAGTGTTCAGAGATGACGCATCTGGAGCCTTTTCCGTTACGAGTGAGCCGCGGGTGCGCGTGGAGTGCAGTGACTGCTCGCCGTCAAGTGGACTGAAGTGCGTTTGTCACTTTGCTTCTACGCTTCATTATATATGCAAAACATATACACCATACATATTATTTTATTTTATTACTATTATATATAATAGAAGCTTAATTATTGGAACGATGCACTCCTTGTCAGACTGTGAACGTGGTTGATGACGACTGGAGCCGAGTGGATTTTTTTAAATAGAATAAGGTAACAAATGAGCACACAGTCCACCTGATCTATCCTCGATTACAAATCAAATGCAGATGTGTTGCTACCCGTGAGGACTGATGAAGAAGATGGACTACCCCGTTTCTAGAGTAAAAAGGGTTTCCGGTTTTCCACGCTCACCTTACAAAACACGGCAGTTCTTACAGAATACTATACTAGTAATATAATAGCTTAACTACTATTTTACGTTTGTATTCTGTGAGAGCGTGGTCTTTCCCCGGTTGTGTCGACCCATTCGTGCTACAACTATGCTTCTAATATAACTGCAGTATCACTCTACCTCGTATGAATATCATAAGAATATGAGACTCAGTACGTCCCCGAGCCAAACGTTGGTTCCAAAGATATTGGATGATTTATACACTGTTTAGAAAGAATGCGCCGTGAGAAGTTTTTACTCAAAAAAAGACTGACGGGGTGCGTGCGCGGCGGCACGGGCCAGGCGCGACGCTCGTCCGGCCACGGCTCCAGGCGCGAGTAGCCCGCCCCGCCCCACGCCGCGCCCCCCGCCCGCGCTCCCCGCGCCCATGCCGCCCAGGCCGCCCATGTTGTCTATATTGTCCACTTCTGTAATCAACGTAAAAAGTAAAGTTACAATCTTACCTCCAGCTGGTCACAAGCTACCTCTTATTTTTAAGATAATTATGCAGCAATTGGTCCACTGCTGCATGTTTGGCGTAATTCTCATGTCTTTGAAATATCGTATTCCTCATTTATGCAGGTTTCCTCACCATCGATGTTTGTCTTAATCGTCGAGCACGTGGTCATAGTCCAAGTCAAAGTCAAATTTTTTGTTTAATTTAGGCTTCTTTAAAGCTCGTACTCGTACGAATGTCAAAATTGCAGCAAGTGATAAATCAGCACTTAAATATTTCATTGGACCACGCGTGGGGAAACCTGACGCTCGGTCCTCTGCCACTACGGAGTTTGAATGTTTTATGCTATTTAAATATTTATCACAGCTGTTAGCATCTTGGTGCCAAGAGGAACTCCATAAGAACTTCGTAGTTGTTCCATTGCAAAACTAAAATGCTACAATAGTACTTGTAAATTATTAATTGAAATTAGGGTTCTAATGTGGCTACACTGTCAATACTAATATAGTTTAATGTAGATATAAAATGCGTGAACGATTTTTTTTGTTTATTGAATCTTTATTATACACCTTATACTAAGGGACATAAAAGGCAGAAATAATGCCTTATGGCATTGTCTGCCTGTCAATCCTGGATGATTTGAAAAACGAAGATGTAACTAATTAAATTAAAATTAAAAATTAAAAAGTTTTATTTCAGTAAATCATTTTACAGTACAAGTAATAAGGATAAAAGATAAAATAAAATGCAACTAAATTGAATATAGTTATACAAACTTACTAAAAATGTAAGTTTGTATATGTATGTATGTATACGTTGTATTATATGTATGTGTAACACTAGTTATATTGTTACAAAGAAATTAATACCTAAATATATAATATACAAAATAAATAAACACTACCTAATCGTAGTATCTTATTACATATAGTAAAGGTTTCAAAAGATAAACACAAACAATAACAGCTAACACTATAAATTAAGTTTGAACACAATAAAATAGTTAATGTGTCATAGGTCTTAACAAATAACTCGCCATACTCATTCAATTTTCACCGAAGTGACGATGGTCTGCTTAGCTTTGGTACGAATACTTTTGCAACTACCCTATTTATATGTAATTATTACTAAATAAATTATTAAGCACTCAATCAGAAAATAAGTTTTAGCGACCTATTTATCATCACCAGACCACCAGAGATATCGGGATGGGAGGTGAAGAGAACAGAATTTATATCAATTAACATCTCATTAAAGAAAAAAAAAATGTTGTTGGGTTCTTGTAGGCAAAAGGCTAGAGAGGCAGGGTACAAGTATGTATGGACAAAAAACTGCCGAATTTATGTCAGAAGAAACGACACCTCGACTCCATTTGCGATAGACTCAACAAGCGATCTTGGAAAGATATTGTAATTAAGTGCCTTGCTCTCTGCTCTTACACTTCTATTATACACCAGTGGTCACTTTAACACACAACATACGTAAATACACATACTTTATAAAACCTACTTACACTCATGCTCACATTATGCACTACATATACATATCACGTACCTTAGAAACAATTGTATACTATCCTAGCCTCTTATCCTTACTGCACGTACAAGTACTTCCAATGCACATTGTCATATCCATAACTCAAACTCTGTGTAACACCTACTTACCATTTAAACCATTCATTCATCATTGTGCGGTTCAATTGATTTTGACACCACCATATAACCAACTGCAATTATGTACGTCTTGCCCATATGTTTCAACACACCCAATTCAATCAAGATGAATAACAATAATATGAAGAAAATTAAACTATTCTATCAAAACGTGAGAGGACTACGAACCAAAACAGACGAATTTTTTAAAAATGTATTATTACAGGACTCCGATATAATTATGATAACTGAAACATGGCTTTGCGATAGCATTTTTGGTGCTGAGCTGTGTGATGACAGATTTACAGTCTTTCGTCGGGATAGAGGCTCGTTGGGGGGTGGTGTAATGATTATGTGTGCTTCGAATTTACAGGCACGCGCCAGACCCGAGTGGCATTGCAGTGGTCTGGAGTCTGTGTGGGTAACTATTCCTGCTGCAGCTATCAAATCCAGGCATGATTTGCATATTGCTACAGTTTGTATCCCACCCAATGATCAAACTCCATCAAGATTGCACATATTTATGAATCAACTCTCTGAAGTTAAAAGCCAAAACTGCAGTGATCACTTTATAATAGCGGGTGACTTTAACCTTCCTATCATTAACTGGCAATATGGGAAACCAATAATTCTGAGGAAAGGCTCTATCGAGCTTCAGAATGCTGCATCGAGTTTTGTCACTCAGTCTTCCTTTCTTGGTTTGTCACAGTTTAATAATTACACTAATAACTGTAATAATACATTGGATCTAATTTACTCTGATTCGTTCGTCACCATAAAAAAATCTACGGGGCCTTTAGTAAAGGAAGATCCTCTACATCCGACTCTTTCTATTGTAGCTTCCAATATTCTAGTCCCTCCAATTAAACCTCAATCCCGAACTAAATATCAATATAAACAAGCTGACTTTGATAGCATCAACGAATCTCTTAGAAATCAGGACTGGAGTTTTTTACTTGAAAATAGTAACATAGAGCACATGTTGACGAAATTTTACTCGATTTTAAATAATTTAATACAAACATTCGTACCACAAGTTCGGTGCCCAAGTACCTACATTTACCCAGTTTGGTATAATAAAGCATTGATAAAACTAATTAAAGAAAAAGATAGGACTCATGTAAATTGGAAGCGTCATAGAAACCCGATTGATTATGCACATTTTAGCTATCTCAGACGTAATATTAAGAAACTGCAGACCGAATGCTATCAATCGTTCATTGTTTTCTCGGAACAGAAAATTAAGACTAATCCAAAATATTTTTGGTCTTATGTAAAGTCCAAGAGAAAAGTAGGATCCTCTTATCCCCAACAAATGACCTTTGATCAAAATGCGTTAAATGCACCATCGGATATTTGTTTCGCATTCAGCAACTTTTTTGAGAGAAACTTTCGTGAACCAGCGAATCAATAGAAATAGAAATAGAAATAGAAACTTTTTTATTCAATGTAGATTATAAAAATACTTATTGAAAGTCACTTTTTTAATTTACCACTGGTTCGCAAAAAAAACCTCTGTCCTGGGAAGAACCAGCAAGAACCCCAGCGGGACTATTTTTTTTTAATAATAGCTTACAATCATGTTTACAATCAACAACACAAGACAAATTAGAAATAGCTTGGTAGCGATCACCCTTCCCAGGGGTTATTATCATCTATAAATTCCTTAATATTATAATAACCCTTTTTATACAAACTTAGTTTAATAACATTTTTGAACTTTGTACTTATCTTCACGCACAATCCCTAACGGGGTAGCCAGAGAGAACAGATCGCCAAGTGTCACGATCCTTACATACCTCTTTCTTCTTTCTTCTTTGAACTTTCTTCTTTGAACTTTGTGTATGACAAATTTTGTATATTTTCTGGGATTTTGTTGTAAAAGCGTATACATCGCCCCAAGAATGAATGAGTGAGTTACTGACTCGGTGGAGTCGAGTAACTGGTACTACCAGCTTGTGTCTGTTCCTAGTATTTACAGAATGAATATCACTTATTTTCGCAAAACTACTTTTATTTTTGTGTTCGTACATTACATTTTCATAAATGTATTGAGAGGCCAGAGTTAATATATTAATTTCTTTAAATTTTTGTCTCAGTGACTCTTTTGGTTTTAAATTATATATTGCTCTAATGGCCCTCTTCTGTAAAATAAATATAATTTCAGTGTCAGTCGCGTGTCCCCATAGCAAAATACCATACGACATAATGCTATGGAAATAACTGAAGTAAACTATTCTAGCTGTTTCAACACTGGTAAGAGTTCTAATCTTTTTTACAGCATATGCTGCATAACTAAGTCTGCTAGCTAGTTTTGATATATGGGGGAGCCATTGAAGCTTTGCGTCCAGTGTGATTCCAAGAAAAATGGTGGTATCAACAAGACTCAGTTCCTCCCCATTTAAAATTACATTAGTATTGACATGTTTAACATTTGGAGTTATGAATTTCATACATTTAGTTTTAGTTCCATTCAAATGCAAATTATTAACATTAAGCCAATTGACTAACTTAGCTATAGCATTATTTACTTCGTCGTAATTTAGTAACTGTCGTTTTAATTTGAAAATTAATGAAGTATCATCAGCAAATAATACTATATCATGGTTATCCCCTACTATGTAAGGTAAGTCATTAATATATACAAGAAACAGAAAGGGGCCGAGAATTGAGCCCTGAGGCACGCCCATTTGTACAATCGACCCGGAAGAACTCATACTATTAATAACAACTTTTTGTGTTCTGTCACTTAAATATGAAATAATTAATTTAAGAGCATCATTTCTTACACCATAGTGTTGAAGTTTCCTGATTAATGTTTCATGGTGAACACAATCAAAGGCCTTGGATAGGTCACAGAACACACCCAAAGCATCCTGTGAATTCTCACATGCATTAAATATATATTTAATCAGCTCAACACCAGCATCAGTTGTCGAGCGACCCCTTGTGAAACCAAAATGTTTTTTATGAAGTAATTTATTTACATTAAAAAAAAATTAACAATTGATCAAGAATAATTTTTTCAAAAATTTTACTAAGTGTTGGCAGTACAGAAATAGGTCTAAAATTAGCGGGGTCCAATGTACTACCAGATTTAAATAAAAGTATTACTTTACTACGCTTCATTAAATCAGGAAACACACTAGATTTGATACTACTATTAAAAATAATAGATAGTTGAGGTGCGATTGTATCTATTATAGACGCAATAACTTTAACAGAAATCCCCCACAGATCGGCGATTCTCTTAATATCAATAGTCTTAAAATATTTTACAATATCTTTTGATGAAACTTTATGAAATGTAAAATTCTTT